ACCCCCGGAACTCTCTCCAGGTAAACTCCAGGTTCAGATGTGATCTAGTAGGGAAACACTAGTCTCTGTAATTCTTGTAGGTTTTGTTACTGTTGGCAGCAACAAGCAGTTACTCATAGTGTTCGTGAATTCAGTAACATGTGGGTCCTGGTTTTGCGTAAGATTTATACTGAAGTCACCTGAGAGTAGTAAGTGATCTTTATTCATGTGTGCATCAGTTATCATACTTCCTAGGTTTTCACTAAAACGGCTAATATTTGACTGTGGTACTCTGGAGATGTTTATCACTGTGAGAGGTTTTAGTAGGTATTTGGATTTGAATTTAGCTATTAAGTATTCCCCATGTTCATCCCTTGTGCATGTATTATTGATACATTCCAGATGGTCTGAGTAGTATATAGTTGTGCCACCCCCTTGTTGATCTGGCCTACAGTTGTGTATGGCTGTATAACCAGGAATGGCATAGACATCTGTAGTATCAGGCTTTAGCCAGGTTTCAGTGAGAGTAATGATGGACATACTTGCATGCAGGGAATTTAGTAATGCTATAAGGTCATCGTAATATTTGCTTAACCCTTTCAGGGTTTCGGCCGTACTAGTACGGCTTACGTGGCAGGGTCCTTGACGTACTAGTACTCATAAATTCTAGCGCCTTCAAATCTAGTGAGAGAAAGCTGGTAGGCCTACATATGAAAGAATGGGTCTATGTGGTCAGTGTGCGCAGTATAAAAAAAAATCCTGCAGCACACAATGCGTAATGAGAAAAAAAAATTTTGACCGTATTTTTGGATTAAAACAGCGACTTTGCACTGTATTTTCGTATGGTATTTATTGTTGTATTCTAGTTTTCCTGGTCTTATTTGATAGAATGGAAGACATATTACAGAAACTGAGATGATTTTGACTGGTTTTACAATGAAAAGTACCTTGAAATTGAGCTCAAAGTAGCAGAAATGTTAGATTTTTACCAAAGTTCAAAAGTAAACAAATCATGCTAAGCGTCCAATACACATCAACTGGTGAGTCTAATATTCTTTCACAAGTGCGCCGATATTATTTATACCATTTCTACACTAATGCAGTAGTCTTCATAACAGTAAATCTTCTATTTTTTTGTGATAATAAAAATTCAAAATGGAAAGCAAAAGAATGTAAGATGGGCGTGGGGACGTAACTAATGAACAGAGGAAATGTTATTTTAGTACCAGGAATGTCTTTCTTGTTTATTCTGGACCCTATTTGGAAATTGGCATCTTTTGAAATTTGTGTGAAATTGGTAAAATTGGTAAATTCTGACCACTGTATTGGATAGTTGAAATCGGTAAATGGGTGGTTTCTTGTATTCATTCGATAGAAAAAATGGAATTCTAGTGAAATAGGTATGATTTCTGTCGAGTAGTACACTGGTACACTGAAAATAGGGCTCAAAGTGGGCAAAATTGCCGATGCATAAACATCGTCGAGACCGCTAACTTCGCGAGAGCATAATTCTCTAAGTTTTCAATCAAATTTCATACTTTTGGTGTCATTATGATCGCAAAAAGATTCTCTATATTTTCATAAGAAAAAATAATTTTTTTTTTTTTGAAATTTGTGGGACCCTGAGAACAAGTCTCTGAGAAGGCCTGTGGACCCTGAAAGGGTTAAAGATCTAACATTGTAGTTAAAGACAGTTATATTGTTGTTGTTGGCTCGGAGAAGTGCCTTTGATTGTTCTGCTGTGTAGTAATTACAGTTACTGTTTGATTCATTTAAGTCATTCAATAAAAGGTTGGTATTAGGATCAATGCTTGTAATCATAAGATTTATATTGAATCTATAATGAGAATTAGGTATAAGACAAAGTAAATATTCTAAAGCTAAAAAATAGCACCTGAATTATTTAAACAAATGTAAATATATGAACTAAAGTAGTTCTTTAAAGCTAAAATAAAGGAGACAATATAAAAGGGACTAAAATAAGTTGTGGTGAACAAATAAAGTGATGATCAAATAAAGGAGCTTGGGAATATAATAGCAAAATAATGAATATATTACACTTTAGCACCTGAGAATAGCACTTTGATTATTTTAACAATTGTGAATATATGAACTAAGGTAGTTATTTAAAGCTAAAATAAAGGAGAAAATATATAAGGGACTAAATTAAGTAATGGTAAACAAAGTTAAATGGACAGATAGTCACTATGATATAATATTGATTTGGGAGTAAGATCTTACTTGTAATATATAATAAGTTGAGCAATTAATTGCACTATAAAAAGTAAAAAAAAAAAAAAATATGAGGTAGTTGGTACTAGCTAGCAAATGATAGTTTTGGGAGTTGCACAATAATGTAATTGGAATATACACTAATTGCTCACATAATATAAAAGGGACTAAAATAAGCAGTGGTAAACAAAATTAAATGGACAGGTAACAGACACTCCTTACCCCCTAATAACCCGTTAAATTAAGGAATCAGTGTATATTACATTTGTTAGGTTAAGGTTAACGTTAACATTAAGGTTAAGGTTTGGTTTGTGTTTAGGTTAAGGTTAAAGTTAAGCTTAAGGTTAAGGTTTGTTAGGTTAATTTAATTAAGGTTAGGGTAAGTCAGGTCAAGTTAGGTCAAGTTAGGTTAAGTCAGGTTAGATTAGGTTAGATAAGATTTGATTAGGTTAAGTTAGGTTACATTAGGTTAGGTTTGGCTAGGTTAGGTTAGGTCAGGCTAAGTTAGGTTAGGTTAAGTTAAGCTAGGCTAGGTAAGGTATGATTAAAGTCAAGTTAGGGTTAGTTAAGTTAAGGGTAGGTTAGGTTAGGTTATGGCTAGGTTAGGGTAGGTTAAATCTAGGTTAAGTAAAGACTATGTTAAGTTAGGTTAGGTTAGGTTAATTTGGGTTAGGTTAGGTTAGGTTAGGTCAGGTTAGGTTAAGTTAGGCTAGGTTAGGTTAGGCTAGAATAGGCTAGGCTAGGTTAGGTTTGGCTATGTTAGGTTAGGTCAGGTCAGGTTAAGTTAGGCATAGCTACGTTAAGTATGATTAAGGTTAAGTTAGGGTAGGTTAACAAGTTTATTTTAGCCGACGGTGTCTAGAAGCCTCACTAATCGCCGTCACCGACACTAAACGCAACACTGGAAACTACAAATTTAAAAAATATTGGCATACATGATACTTAAGCAGCACCAACCCAACAACACAGGAGTCACATGATTTCATCGTCTACCCATCCTCATCATAGGCAGAGGTTGTTTTGATAAGGACCTGCCTCGCATGGGCCAGTAGGCCTTCTACAGTGTTCCTCCATTCTTATGTTCTTATGACATTCCTCAGGTCACGTGCGTCACACCTCACTCTCCGCCTATATATAATGTCTTTCTACCTCTGTATGTTAGAAGTGATCAAGGTCCCAGGACCGAAACGTTTTCTAATAAATATGTTATAGTGTTTGCTTACGTGTCTTTCTAAACCAACTTGTCGGTATTTATTACCAAGGTTTATACCACAATGGAGTTTACCTGGAGACCTGGAGTTTACCTGGAGAGAGTTCCGGGGGTCAACGCCCCTGCGGCCCGGTCTGTGACCAGGCCTCCTGGTGGATCAGAGCCTGATCAGCCAGGCTGTTACTGCTGGCTGCACGCAAACCAACGTACGAGCCACAGCCCGGCTGATCAGGAACCGACTTTAGGTGCTTGTCCAGTGTAACAATTTGATGAACATGTCAAAAACCCCTTTATATGCCAATCATTTCGGGCACACTTAAGATTAATAAGGCAATAACAGTGCAGTAATTTTAGAATATGTTATGGTTAGGTTTGGTTATGGCTAGGTTAGGTTATGGTAGGTTAGGTTATGGTTAAGCTAGGTTATGGTTAAGCTAGGTTATGGTTAATCTAGGCTATGGCTAAGTTAAGGCTGGGTAGATTGAATATGAATATCAAATACAGTGGAACCTCAAATATCGAACTTAATCCGTTCCAGGAGTTAGTTCTAAATTCGAAAAGTCTGAAAAGCGAAGCAATATTTCCCATAAGAAATAATGGAAATAAAATTTATCCGTTCCAAAAACCCAAAATATTCACAAAAAAATACATTTTATAGAGATTAATTATAGATTTATATACACACAACAAATATAGTGTTCAATTATGTATTAATAAATTTAAATAAACATAAAATAACATTTTACTTACCTTTATTGAAGATTGGTGATGGCATCTGGAAGATAGGGAGGAGGAGAGAGGGAGTTGAAGTTAGTGTTTGGAAGGAGAATCCCCCTCCATGAGGACTTCAGGTATCAAAGTCCTCCCTGGGGTTACTTCCTTTCTCTGTCTTTTAATACCACTAGGACCAGCTTGAGAGTCACTGGACCCCTGTCTCACAAAATAACTGTCTACAGTCCTCTTGTTTCTGGTGCCTCTTTAAGATTTCCCTAAAATGGGACATGGTTCTGTCACTGAACTTGTTGCAAAGATGGCTTGTTTCAGCTTGCTCAGGGTGGTACTTCTCCACAAACATTTGGATATCATTCCACTTCTGTATTATTTCCTTCTTTACATCTATGGTGTTTCTCACTTTCTTTACCACAGGGGTACCACTAGCAAGTTTCTTTGGGCCCATTGTAGCTTATTTCAGTCCCACAAGCGCTAAAAATGTTTGAATGAGAGCACAGGTTAGTGTTCACCCAAGCATCAACAGAACAAGACTGGCTCACGGTGCCTGCATGGGGATGCGGACAGAGAGGGCTGCCAGACAGGTCCGGTACTCGGCGGTTTGAAAATAGGGGTGAGTTCGATAATAGGAACAAAGTTCGAAAAAAGGGTTCTATTTTCGAAGAGTTCGGTAAGTGATACGTTCGAAATTTGAGGTTCTACTGTATATTTATTAAATGTAATACAACCTGTTTATCTAGATTAAATAAGAATTATTATTATTATTATTATTATTATTATTATTATTATTATTATTATTATTATTATTATAATAATACTCCCACCCCCAGTATGAAACCCATTCACGTACCTATTTACTACTAGGTGAACACTGACAGCAGCTGTTAGTAGTAGCTTCCTGCTGTTGGTGTGGTGGCTTCCAGCTGTCAGTGTGGTGGCTTCCACCTGTCAGTGTGGTGGCCTCCAGCTGTCAGTTTGGTGGCTTCCAGTTGTCAGTGTGGAGGCTTCCAGCTGTTGGTGTAGTGGCTTCCATATGTCAGTGTGGAGGCTTCCAGCTGTCAGTGTGGTGGCCTCCAGCTGTCAGTGTGGCTTCCAGCTGTCAGTGTGGAGGCTTCCAGCTGTCAGCATGGTGGCTTCCAGCTGTCAGTGTGGCTTCCAGTTCTCAGTGGTGGCTTCCAGCTGTCAGTGTGGTGGCTTCCAGCTGTCAGTGTGGTGGCTTCCAGCTGTCAGTGTGGAGGCTTCCAGCTGTCAGTGTTGTGGCCTCCAGCTGTCAGTGTGGTGGCCTCCAGCTGTAAGTGTGGTGGCTTCCAGCTGTCAGTGTGGAGGCTTCCAGCTGTCAGCATGGTGGCGTCCAGCTGTCAGTGTGGAGGCTTCCAGCTGTCAGCATGGTGGCCTCCAGCTGTCAGTGTGGTGGCCTCCAGCTGTCAGTGTGGTGGCTTCCAGTTGTCAGTGTGGTGGCCTCCAGCTGTCAGTGTAGCGACTTCCAACTGTCAGTGTGGTGGCCTCCAGATGTCAGTGCAATGGCTTCCAGCTGTCAATGTGGAGGCTTCCAGCTGTCAGATCTGTGTCTTTAAGCATTCAATATCAAAGGTTTCAGTTATCATTGTTGTAACATGCAACTGTCATTGCTGTAGCTTCCAGCTGTCAGTGTCATGACTTCCAGCTGTCAATGTCTTGGGTTTCTGCTGGCATTGTCGTGGCTTCCAGCTGTCAGTGTCGTGGCATGCAGTTGTCAGTGATGCTTGAAGCTGCCAGTGTGGTGGTTGTAGCTGTCAGTGTTGTGGCTTGCAGCTGTCTGTCACGACTTCCAGCTATCAGTGTTGTAGGATTCAGCTGTCATTGTCGTGGCTTCCAGATGTCAGTGTGGTGGCTTTTAGATTTAAGCGTGGTAGCATCCAGCTGTCAGTGAAGTGGCTTCCGGCTGTCAGTGAAGTGGCTTCTAGCTGTCAGTGTAGTGACTTCCAGCTGCCAGTGTGGTGGCTTCCAGCTGTCAGTGAAGTGGCTTCCTGCTGTCAGTGAAGTGGCTTCCAGCTGTCAGTGGGGTGACTCCCAGCTGTCAGTGTAGTGGTTTCCAGCTGTTAGGGTAGTCTCTTCCAGCTGTTAGAGCAGTGACTTCCAGCTGTCAGTGTGGTGGCTTCCAGCTGTCAGTGTAGTCTGTTCCAACTGCCAGTGCGGTAGCTTCGAGCTGTCAGTGCAGTGGCTTCGAGCTGTCAGTGTGGTGGCTTCCAGCTGTCATAGTGACTTCCAGCTGTCAGTGTGGTGGCTTCCAGCTGTCAGTGTGGTGGCTTCCAGATGTCAGTGTGGTGGCTTCCAGATGTCAGTGTGGTGGCTTCCAGCTGTCAGTGTGGTGGCTTCCAGCTGTCAGTGTGGTGGCTTCCAGATGTCAGTGTGGTGGCTTCCAGATGTCAGTGTGGTGGCTTCCAGCTGTCAGTGTGGTGGCTTCCAGCTGTCAGTGTGGTGGCTTCCAGGTGTCAGTGTGGTGGCTTCCAGCTGTCAGTCGTGGCTTCCAGCTGTCAGTGTGGTGGCTTCCAGCTGTCAGTGTGGTGGCTTCCAGCTGTCAGTGTGGTGGCTTCCAGCTGTCAGTGTGGTGGCTTCCAGCTGTCAGTGGTGGCTTCCAGCTGTCAGTGTAGTGGCTTCCAGCTGTCAGTGTGGTGACTTCCAGCTGTCAGTGTAGTGGCTTCCAGCTGTCAGTGTGGTGGCTTCCAGCTGTCAGTGTAGTGGCTTCCAGCTGTCAGTGTGGTGGCTTCCAGCTGTCAGTGTGGTCGCTTCCAGCAGTCAGCGTATTCCAGATATCAGTGTGGTGGGTACCAGCGTGCGCTAAACCCTCACGGCTGGAGGTCGAGCAAGAGACTGTCAACAACAAAGATGGCCGCCACGCCCCTGACGAGTGAAGTGCTACATGCGTGACCACACTCCGGTCACCACCAGGGCACGTGTGATGACTGCTTTCACCACCAGGGCACGTGTGATGACTGATTTCACCACCAGGGCACGTGTGATGACTGATGTCACCACCAGGGGACGTGTGATGACTGATGTCACCACCAGGGCCCGTGTGATGACTGATGTCACCACCAGGGCACGTGATGACTGCTTTCACCACCAGGGCGTGTGATGACTGATGTTACACCAGGGAATGTGATGACGAGTCACCCCAGGGCACGTGTGTGATGAGTACCACCAGGGCACGTGTGATGACTGATGTCACCACAGGGGCGGTGATGACGATGTCACCACCAGGGAACGTGTGATGACTGCTTTCACCACCAGGGCACGTGATGACTGATGTCACCACCAGGGGACGTGTGATGACTGATGTCACCACCAGGGCCCGTGATGATGTTGACAAGGGGACGTGTGATGACTGATGTCACCACAGGGACGTGTGATGATGATGTCACCACCAGGGCCGTGTGATGACTAAATGTCCCCCAGGCCGTTTTATGACTGATGTCACCACCAGGGCACGTGTGATGACTGATGTCACCACCAGGGCCCGTGTGATGGCTGATGTGGAAAATTACATTTATCTGAATGTATCATTATTTAACTGCTCCTGGAGAGGATGGTATAACCTATGATATTCTCAGAACTCTAAGGCACGTGCCTGATAACCCTTTGTTGGCACTGTATAATCTCAGTTACATTGAGGGCGTTCTTCCTACTTCCTGGACCAATAGTCTCATTGTGCCTATCCCTAAGCCCCAACAGCCTGATACATTTAGGCCGATTCCTTACTAGTTGTCTTGTAAACTTTAAAAGAAATGCTAACAGATGTACTACGAATCAGAGATCAACTTTCCCCCTACCTTATGGGTCATAAAAGGGTAAAGTGTGCAGAACGGGTATTTCCACCTTTCTAAACTGCACACACCTCTACTGTTTACACTTTTCTTGATCTAAAATCGGGCATTTGTTTGCGAACAGACCGTTATTACCTGAGTTTCCCTGGAGAGAGTTTTCGGGGTCAACGCCCCGCGGCCCGTCCGTGACCAGGCCCCCTGTGGATCAGGCTGATAACCAGGTTGCTGCTGGCTGCACCAACCAAGTACGAGGCCACAGCCGGCTGATCAGGACTGACTTAAGGTGCTTGTCCAGTGCCAGCTTAAAGACTGCCAGGGGTCTGTTGGTAATCCCCTTATGGTGCTGGAGGAGTTGAACATTCGGGCCCCTGACACTTATTGTATTCTTTTAAAACGTGCTGTGACCCCCTTTTCATTGGGGGATGGTGCTCGTTGCAAGTCTTTGCTTTCGAAATGAGTGATTTTCGTGTGCAGTTCGGAAACTAGCCCCTCTAGGATTTTCAGGTGTATTAACATGTATCTCCCTCCAAATAAATATGGTGGTAGCAAACTCTGCTGGATAATAGGATACTCAAATAGAGTATCTCTGTCCTTTACCAAGCTTCAGAAGTGATTCAAAAGAAAGTCTTTAGGTACACCCAGGGGATTTTTAAAGTCCTTTGCTATTTAATATTCTGATTAATGGTCTCCTAATGCTCACCTCCTTACTAAACATTAGCTAACTATGCTGATGATATCAGATCCATACAACAGGGCAAAGAAAATGAATACCTTCTTAATAAATTTCAAGCAATTTGTATCGACAGGCTCATATATCTTCCTCTAAAACTAAGATTTTAACAAGCAAACCACATCCCCCACCATCAGGGTGAATCATTAGCTACGTTAAAATACAGAAAATCTGTGAAAATGTACCTTTAACAAATCCACTATACCACAACCTAAACAGAAATGAAAGTGGAAAATGCTCTATGCTGTTGCTGGCTACATCCCAACTATGGTGCAATGTGAGAATCGTGAGACAGATGTACATAGCCTATGTTAGGTCCTTAATTGATTTGCGCTCCCATTTGATTTGCTAGAAAATTCTCTCCGCCCCTTGGAGTTAATGCAAAATGAAGTTCAGGATTATTCTTGCTGTCCAGATAAGATTGTTGAAATTAACACTGTTCGGTTTTTAGAAGTTGGAAACGACCGACACTGTCCAGTGAATCTTACCAAGTTGTCTAGAGTAAATACCCCAGATTTTAATGGATGTGAAAACGTGCAATGCATTAAGTTTATAACCTACATGAACTGACACTGTGGGCAACAAGAGCATTTCACCCCTCCATGGAAGATGTGTTCATTTAATATCACATACCTACAAGTCCCTCCCAAGAAGCTCATTGCTAGTAATCCCTTCCTTAAATCTCTTGTTGAGCAATGCTCAAGAAGAAATTTCCACCTAGCTGGTAGTAACAAGTTATCACAATTTTATATACACTGATGGATCTAAACAGGAGTCTTCTGGCAGGGCTGCATCTGTCTTGTTCCCACCCCTAGTTAAGAACGATAAAAAATTTGTTGAGTTAGGCATAAGAATTAACAACTGGGCGTCTACACTGCAAACTGAATTGTTTGCAATCCTAATGGCGCTAAAGCTAACCTAGGGACACTGACTTGACTCTATCATCATTACTGATTCTTGTCATCACTGAAGGCTCTTGACTCATATAATGACTCCAAAAACATGTCTTTGGGGGAAAGCCAGGTATAGATATTTCAAAAATTAGGGAAAAAAGGAATTAATTTTACAATTGCTATGGATCCCATCACACTTTGGGATTACTCCTTCATGATAAAGTTGATATGTTAGCCAAGAAAGTATCGAGAAAGGAGATGCTGGGATGCTGTCCTTGGAGACAGTAAGGGGGAAAGCGGGATGCTGTCCTGGGAGCCCAGTAATGGTGAAGCTGGAGATTTTGCCCAGGTAGTCGGGAATTATACGCAGGAAGGAATACATATGAATGACCTCATAGGGGACAGGACCCATAGTAGGGAAAACAGTGTAGTAAAAGATAAGATAAAACCAATATTGCAAACTAGAAATACCACAGGAAATAGCAAACAAGAGGATCCACTAGAAATAGTGAGGATATATTACCAAAAACAAATGGTGGGAGCTCCATTGTTGGTGCTAGGGAGGATAAAAGTAAGACAGGGAAACATGCACCAACAGGGAATACAGTCACAGAAACCCAAGGCAAACGGAAACCAAGCTGTGCACATACTATGCACTCGGTATCTGCTGGCATGGGAAATCTGGAAAAACAGATGGGACGTGAAACTATGACACCCTAGGAAATGCCATGCCCATATGACAACAGGAAAATGCAAACCCCCTTCCTGTAAGCTTTTTCACCCTAAAACTGTGTACCCTTCAGTACAGGAAAGACTGTGCTATAACTTAAATTGCCAGGCATACCATCTAAAGGGGACAAAAAGATACAAAACATCCAGGCCATGGGAAAACCTGGGTAGCCACAGCCACTCAAGAGGGAGAGGTTTTTAGTGCCAGGAAGGAAAAAAAACTGGAGGAAATGGCAGAAATCGTACACCAAATCCAGTCATTCCTGGAGTGGAAACCACAGTCGATGGCCTCCACTCCAAACCAAAACAGTTACAGAACTAATGCGGAAAAAAATCCCCCCCAAAGTCCAACAATACACCAGTCCGATAACATTCTTCTTTGCAAATATACAGGGTCTAAAGCCAGCAACAAAAAACAAAATACCTTTCATCCGTGGACTGCTTGCAGAGGCAAAGGCAATGTTCGCGGCTTTCACTGAGCCCACATAAAGGATCACTTGGACAACGAAATATGGATCCCAGGTTACAACCTATACAGATGTGACAGAGTGAACAGGCAAAAAGGGGGGGGGGTTGGCCTGTACTTTGCAGAGTCACTTGTTTGCACAGAACTGCTAAATGCCTCAAATGATGTAGTGGAAGTTTTAGCAGTAAAAGGTCGAGAACCAAAACCTAGTCATTGTGTTTAGTCTACAAGCCCCCGGATGCAACATCCCGAAATTTCCCAGGAACAGCTGTTAAAATTGACCACTTTTGGGGAAAACCTTCCAGCTCCTGCACCCAACATCTTGTTTCCTGGGGGATTTTCAACTTAAGGCCCCTAAAATGGAGGAATATAGCAAATAATATTGTTGCAGTAATAACACCAGGAGGCAGCTCTGATGAAAACTCACACTCACGCGAGCTTTTAAATCTCTGCACAAAATTCAATTTAAACCAGAAAATAATAGAGCCTACTAGACTGGAGAATACACTAGACTCATCTTCACTAACAATTATGATCTTGATAAGAAATATCACCATATCAAAAACAATATACTCAGATCACAACATAATTGAGGTTCAGTCATGTATGCGCGGAGCCCCAGACCGACATAAGGAGATTAGTCACGAAGGAGCATTCCAAAATTCAACTTCAATAACAAAAATATAAGGGGGACCAAGTAAACCAAGTCCTAACCGATATAAGCTGGGAAGATATATAACAACACAGCCCCCAACTTATGCCTAGAACAGATTAATCGGTAGCACTCGATGTATGCACAAGGCTTATTCCTCTAAGAAAAAGGAGGAGTAGATTTTTAAAACAGAAAGAGACAGGCGCTCCCTTTACAGGCGACGGAAAAGGATAACAGAGCGGCTAAAGAGGTCAATATTTTCTGAAATGCGTAGGGAGACACTGGTCAGAGAACTAGCAAGCATCGAACTTAAGCTAAAAGAATCCTTTAGGAGTCAGGAATCGCGGGAAGAACTAAAAGCCATAAATAAAAATCGAAAGAAACCCAAAAGTATTTCTTCCCCTATGCCAAATCAAAATCGAAAAACAACGTCCAGTATTGGGCCCCTACTTAAACAAGATGGTCCTACACAGATGACAACAAGGGGAAAATGAGTGAGCTACTCAAGTCCCAAATGACTCAGTTTTTAGCAAGCCGCTAACCAGACTGAGAGTCGAAGATCAAAAAGAATTTTTTATGAGAGAGCCACAAAAATTTGATTAAACACAAAGCCTATCGATGT